AATTAACAAGTCTTATTTATTTACATTGAATTTGCATGTAATCTGGTCATACTTAATTGATTATTTTTCTGAACATGCATCAAGAAAAGTAATTCTATCTCGACAAAGTACTACTCTGTTTAAAACGATAGATGGAATATGATGAGATTACATGCAATTTCAAGGTAAATAAATAAGAGTCTTATTAACTTACGTTGCATGCAATCTGATCATATTCCACCGATTATTTTAAACAGAGTAGTACTTTGTCGAAATAGAATTATTTTTCTTGATGCATGAAGAAAAAAAAAGATGAGGACAATAGCTTGTGCAGCGAGAAATGCTACAGGCAATTCGGATAGAATTAATTAGATTTAATTGAAGTCGTTCTCCATTTGAAGGGTGACCCAAGATGATTTGAGGTAGAAGAAGATATTCCATTACACATTTGTAGCTGTCCTGAATTTGTTGCAACAGGCTTTGTACACGATTTCCTTTCAATAAGAATTAAAACGGCTAATCCGAGCAGGATGCTGTCTTATTTATTGATTTGTATCACGTTGGTCCATGATTCAACTCTTTATTATGACTTTCTTCTATAATTACCACAGTGCCCTGAAAGCAATACTCGTATGCTTTGTTATCTTGAGAATATTTCTCGTAGGAGCAGATGATATAAACATGTAACGTGTAAATGAATTCTCACAACTTTCTTGCATGTGTTTCAGCTGAGAACTGAAAATGAAGAGGAGCGCGATAATGAATTGGCATCCCACCAGAAGAAAAGCACCGGCCAGCCGGGAAGGAAGTACTTCACGATGCTGGTGGTGCTTGGTACATTGTTCCTAGGTTACGTAGCCATAGCGAATGATCTGAAACCCATCAGGATAGGCAGCAAGGCCATCGACACCCTAGCGTTCTCGTTTAACTTACAAAAGCCGTTCTACGTGGTCGTCATAGACGCCGGCTCTACCGGTAGCCGCGTGTTGGCGTTCGGCTTCCACGAGTCCATTCTCAACGGGAATTTAGTGCTGGATAACGAGCTGTTCAAGGAGGTGAAGCCTGGACTGAGCTCGTTCGCCGACAAACCGGAGGACGCCGCCAGGTCTCTGACTGCGCTTCTGAACGAGGCGAAGGCTGTGATCCCGCAGTCGGAATGGCCGCGCACGTTGCTGACGATGAAGGCCACGGCGGGGCTGAGATTGTTGCCGGAGCACAAGGCCAACGGCATACTGGACGAGTGCCGCAAGTTGTTCCAAACGTCCGGATTCCAGCTCGCGAGAAACTCCATCTCCGTGATGGAGGGCACGGACGAGGGCATCTTCTCCTGGTTCACCGTCAACTTCCTGCTGGACCGCTTCAACTCGCTCAGCTCGCAGACCACCGTGGCCGCGTTGGACCTCGGCGGCGGCTCGACGCAGGTCACGTTCCAGCCCGACAGCGCGCAGGCGAAGAAACTGGAGAGACACGTCTACTCCATCAACGTGTTCAATCACAACATGAGTCTGTACACGCACAGTTACCTGGGCATGGGTCTGATGGCCGCGAGAAAGGCGATCTTGACCCACGACATGAATCTCGAGGCTGCGAATCCCAATGTTCCCATAGAGATACATTCCGAGTGCATCAATCCGATCGTGTCTACCGAGTGGTCCTACCACGGGCACGACTACAGGGTGAAGGGCCCGATAAACGGCACGTACAAGCTCGTGAAAACGCAGAACTTCGCTGGCGGGGATGAGAACAAGCCGATCGTACGTTTTCCCGAATGCTTGAAGATTATCGAGAAATATGTCGGCACTCTCACGGAGAGACCGTTAGGTTTGAAGGATCACGAAGTATATGCGTTTTCGTACTACTTCGAACGTGCGACGGAGGTAAGGATTCAAAGAGTTACGAACGTTAAATATTAACGAATCTATGAATATTTGACTCATCTTTTTTACATTTGGTCTGCTGTTTTGAATAATGCAAAAGTATTTACATTTGGAAATTTTACCACACGGTTTACTAGTAATTATACTTGGTATACACTTTGCTAGTAAAAAGTATGGTAAAATTTAAAAAAAAACTATCTTACAGTTCTTCGAAATGCCGTGTTGTTCCACGACTGCGTGATTTTCGGGATGAATTTTAAGAGAAAATTCTTCCCGTGTACATCGATTACGAACTACGACTGCCACAAAACGAATACAAGAAGTGTAACACTTGCACCATTGATGTTTCAGGTAGCACTAATAGATCCATTTTTGGGTGGAATGGTGCAGCTGAGCTCATTTTTTAAGCAAGCCAAGGAGACGTGCGACTATCCAAATACTGATCAGCCGTTCATGTGCTTGGATTTGACGTTCATTTACGTTCTGCTGAGAGACGGCTTTGGTTTGGAGCCGTCGACGAAGCTACATGTGAGCAAAGATTGAGTATTGCAATATTGAGCCAGCGGCACACGATACTATTTTGCCTACTGGATCGTTTACGAGAACCGACCAGGATTTAGGCCCGGTTTCATCAAACGTCGCTTAACTTTAAGCTTCGTTTAATTCATGTTTGTGTCATCACATGATTGTCTCTTTCTGAAGTAACAGTTGGAAAGAGACAAAGAACGAATTGAGCTAAGCTTAAAATTAAACGTTGATAAAACCGAGCCTTAGTCTTAAGTCGCCTGATCTAAAACTCGTAAGTAATCTAGTAGGACAAATAGTACCGTGTGCCGTTGGCTTAATTTTCATTCTACGAGAATATCCTCGAAGATAACGAAGTATTTTCAATTGTTGCAGCTTTACAAGAAGATCAATGGCCATGAGTTAAGCTGGGCACTGGGAGCCGCGTTCAATGTTCTCCAAAATGGGCTTTGACGTTTTCTTGTTATATTACTATTGTTAGATAAGTTTTATTCCAAATTTGTACATTAAGAAGAGACGAAGCAATGATGGAACGTACAACTGAAAGGGAAGAGGCGTGTAAAAATAGTATTAAGATTTAACATTTTTTGTATAAAAACGGATTTGGTGGAACATTTGATAATTACCGACGTACAATTGCCTAAAACGGTACAATCTGTCTCCTACGATTCAACAGACAGCAGTATTCGATATATATTTTTTAACTACGACAATATATTTTTATCTCAAGTGTCACGTTATCTTATCTCTCTAACATGAAAGATATATCGCCGTGCATGTATTTATGACGGTTCTTTAAAACGTCCGTAATTGTCATCTTACGTCGATATGCATTGAATGATTTTCTTACGATCTGTCATGTCCGTTTTGTAATCTTGCGGATAAACACAATTAACGCGTATGCGATGTAAATCGCACGATGAGATCGATCCGCCTCGTTGTGTAAAATTTATCAAAGTACAATTCGGCAACTGGTGCAGAAAACGAGACGAGGTTACACGAGTTGCGCCCTCGCGGCGACATATCTGCTACGAAATCGTGTAATAAAACTGTATCTCTGACATATCTCGATGCACAAAAAAACTGCAGTTATCATCGTAAACTCAGTACAAACGGATTTTATCCCCGCTGCTAACGTCTACCTGTTGAAGTATGCCAATGATGTACATATTATAACGTTCGATTTTTGTATGTGTCGCTGCATCGCGACGTTCTACGGGGGTTTTCTTCTACGATATTGCGTGGTCGATTACTCATGTTTATCGTTACGTGTCCAGCACGGCGATGTAATAAATTACATACGCATTGCGTGTATATAGATAGATAAATACTGTTGAGAATAGTACCGTACGATCCAACACATTCTACATATTATTCTACATAAAAGACACAATTTATGTGTATATAACATGTGTATATAGTGCCTTTAAAACGCCATTTTTAAATAAAGCGAACGCGTCGCTACGTATATCTTCTTCGTACATTCTACTTTTATATTGTTCATCCGGCTTTTTATATTTCACATCGTTCAATTTTAAACGTGTGCTCATCTTTTGTACGTCAATTTTAATCCCGCGATTTACACCACAATACACGTATAGCCATTCAAATTTAGCCGAGTGCTCGAAGATGTAATTTATACCCGAACTCTTATTGACCGCCGCGTCTAATTATTCTTTCGGTGAATTTTAAAGGTGCACTAACTGAAAGTATGCTCGTCCTTTCGAGATCACGTCCGATTCCTCCTTGAAAATTTGAGGAATCCGGGTTCCAGCTCGGAATCCGCACCGAAGATTACGCTTGCATTCGGGTTTCACTCTCCGCGAGGTTCCTGCAGATTTGCGTCGCTGTGACGGCAATGCGCAGATATTTACAAGTCTAAATCGCCGTGACAATATAAATATCTGTATTAAAACACCCATTGTGCGTAAATCTCTCTGTTAGATTATCGCACGACAATTCCGAGGTGAACGAGAGCGCGACTATCTCCATAAGAGATGCAGATAAGGGTGTGTTAACATATGCGTTATCGGGGACGAGCGTACTATTATTGAGCGCTAACAAATCGTCGCCGTTGAAAAAATATTGTATAAACTCTGTGTCCGTCGCATAAACTAGAGACGATGCCTTGTTCAATTGAAGCTAACGCGCGCGTGCGGGATCCGCGACCTTCTCTTAAGAGGCGTATAAAGAGAGATCCGTCGTCACTCGTTGTCGAAAGCTCGCTCCAGAAGCCACGAAGATCGTCCGGGACAAACTGTTCCTTCTTTCGCGCTTTGCTCGTCGTATCTTTAACAGCGGTAATGTATCTCGACACAGTGGACTCCATTCTCCTCTTTACTGTCCTTCTGGATTTATCTTTTTTTCTTTTTGCGTCCTTATGTCGGTTTCCACCAACGCAGTTTAACTTTAGCTTGGTTTCACTTACTTTTTATCTCTTTCTAGTTCTGAGAAAACGATACAAGTGAGAGCGATCCGAGATCAAAGTTAATCTATATTAGTAGAATTGGACGTTGGAGCGACTTCAGCCCAGACTCCAGTTAATCATCGGCAATCGAGAGACAGAAACACAACGGTTCCAGTTATGTGAGCGTCCCTGATCTAATCTTATCTTCTCGCAAACAAAACATTAACAATTTCATTTACGCCTATCAGACTACCGCGGATGGAGATTGAGATTGGCGGCTCGAGCGTGAATCTTTTCCCTCGGAGTAAACGCGCGAAAAGCGAAAAATTTCGTTGACAAATTCAACATTGGTTAATAAAATTTTTCACTTTTCACGAGCTCACGCTAGAGGAAAAGATTCACGATCGAACCCCTGATGGAAATTTGACCAATTAGAGTAAAAGTCGCTAAACTTTAGATTAGTGTAAACTTTACTCTGATCAAATTTCAATCTAATCTCAATCTCAATAGTCCGATATGGGCTTTGTGTTGACGAAATAATACAAATATTACTTGGCAAGTTGGCCATCGATTAACATTAAGCTAATCGGAATGCGATTGAGGTAATCCCAGAGTTACTTGAACCGAATTCCGATTAAAGTCATTAATCGGCGATTGATTCAATCAGCAACATTTATTTCGCTTCAAATAAAATTTCGAACCTTTCAATTCATTCTTTATCCATGAATATACTAAAATGTTAATTAGCCTATTATCTTCGTATTAGCAAACAGGTATCGATAAGTTGATCATCAATGAAGTCGGTTAATTGGAGTTTGGTCGAAGTCTCCTCCCGCTTCTCTTGTACTTCCTAATCTTCCTCTTAATTAAGAGTCAGGTATCTTGCGCAAGACTCGCTTCCGCATCTTTCCTGGAATTGCTTCTTTTCTCGCATCAAAATATCAACCGGTTCTATTCGTATATACACACGATACGACAAATAAAATGCGTAGAGACCGAGACGGCGCAGCTGTGAAACAGAGATACTCGATCAGCTTCTCGAGCCAAGATTTTTAATTCTAACTCATCTGTTCAAACGCTTTGTAATGAGATCTGCTCACGAACTTAGTTGATAGACTGTCGGCGGAAATATAACAGAAATTCCGTCCGCTGATGGAAAATAATAGCAGCGATCAGCTGCGGAAACTGAACAGGACCTATCGTTTCGCAATCATTTAAACATTTTAAGCAACACATTTCATTTTAGTGTCTATACGAAATAACGACAGATTCCGTTCGGTTTTTGCCGACGATCATCGGACTATATCGGCGGATTCTGCTGGCAAGTGCAGAGAATCTGCTGCAATTTGCTTTAAATTAAAGGGTACCTTTAATTACCTTTTAATTATCTTATCCATTTATTCTAATCTCGTCGCAGGTTTTATCGCTATCGTCGCACGATGGAGAGATAGATAGATAGATAGATAGATAGAGACAGAGAGAGAGAGAGAGAGAGCCATGAGCAAAGTCTGCTTTACTCTCCGTTATTTACTTCTCTCCTTCCTTTTCTCAATTACTTCATTAATTACCTCTTCTGTGCGTTCTTGAACTCGCGTTCGAGGATCAGGGGCTTGATCGTGAATCTTTTCCTACAGCGTAAAACGTGAAAAGTGGAAAGCTTCATTGATGAACATTATGAACTCGCTAATAAATTTGTTTGTCACGCTAGAAGAGAAGATTCGTGATCAAGCCCTTGGGGCTTCGTCTCTTTTTAGGGGGTCAATTCTGTATCTTGCAAACATGGTGAAGATGCTAAAAGTGAGCGGCTTTGTCTTTTTTTTTAAGGGGACAGTTGGAAAGAGACAAGGCTACTCACTCTTAGTATTTTCACTATAGTGTAAGATACAGAATTCACCCTCAGGGGGTCAATTCTGTATCTTGCAACATGGTGAAGATGCTAAAAGTGAGCGGCTTTGTCTTTTTTTTTAAGGGGACAGTTGGAAAGAGACAAGGCTACTCACTTTTAGCATTTTCACTATAGTGTAAGATACAGAATTCACCCTCGGGGGGTCAATTCTGTATCTTGCAACATGGTGAAAAGTGAGCGGCTTTGTCTTTTTTTTTAAGGGACAGTTGGAAAGAGACAAGGCTACTCACTTTTAGCATTTTCACTATAGTGTAAGACACAGAATTGACCCTCAGGGGGTCAATTCTGTATCTTACAACATAGACCAGTATTCATTGCAGTCAGATCTTATGTTCCAAGACCGTCTTGAATCTATCTAAAGATGCCGTACGGAACATTTCATTGACTACGGAGTATCTAAAGGTGATCTTAAGACAGTCTTGAATGTAAGATCCGCCTATGAATACCGGCCTAAAGACACAGAATTGACCAGCAGGTAATTCAGCGCGTGAAACGCGGCTGCCTGATTTCCGCGCGCGCGCACCCACGCGCACGCACTCCGTTCTCGGGCATACCGGGCGGCTAAATATACGGAACACGAATATGGGTCTCGGCTAAGCTGCCCGCGCGTCTCGGCATTCCCCCCTTTCGGCCGCGCGCTGCCACGCCGTTCGCCTACGCGTGCACGCATACGGACGCGCGCGCCACGTATACGTGCAAACGAAGCGCTAAAACCCGATTCGTCAGGGTCAACGGCGATTTGAAACAAGGCTGGTGGTCCCGCCGACCGACCCCCTCGGCCCCGATTCTGTGTGGTTCGCTCGTGGATCCGGTGGATCGCGCGGCGAGAGCGAGTGCGAGTGCGAGCTGCGAGCGAGAGATAGATCGAGAGATCGAGCGATCAGACGCACGGCCGTGCTCGCGGAGCAGCGCGAGGGATCGCTCTTTCGCACGTCGGGTCCCGTCCGCGGCCCGCCGTCGTCCCCATCGTGCGGTATGTACAAACGCGTATGCGTCGCGGAGCGGCCGCGGTAACGGTGCCAGTCCCCTAGGTCCCGGACGGCGGAACGCGTGAATCATGATAGGACGAGCGTGAAAGCGTGTGCTGCGCACCCCCGATCTCGCGCGAGAACAAAGATAAATAGATAAAAAATATATAAAAAAAAAAACACCAGAGATCCGCGCCGATAAATGAGCCTGTCCCCGAGGCTGCTGCTGACGAGCGCCGCTTCTCTGCTGAATGTAGCGTGTAACGCGCGGCCGGCGACGTTCCCGCAATCGCGTAAGGTAAGCGCCACGACTCCCCGCACCAGACGCGCGTCCCTCTTTCTCGCCAGTCGTTCCTCTCCTCCGCCACCCGTTGGCTGGCACGGCGGACGTTAGGGTTAGGCGTGGGTGCGCAAGGGCACCTTCCGCGTGGGGAAGGTCCCCGCGGGCTCTGAATACCGCTCGTTCGATCGCAGGGTGCGCGAGAGGCTGCGAAGAGTCGCCTTCGCTCACGAAATTTCATCTTAACAATATTCTTTGTTCTCTCTCTCTCTCTCTCTCTCTCTCTCTCTCTCTCTCTCTCTCTCTCTCTCTCTCTCATACACACACGTCTCGACTTTGTAATATCGTCCGCTTCCCCCCCGCAGATCTTTTGCGCGCTGGAGCCGACCTGGCAGCTTCTGGGTGGTCTGTGCAAGTGCCCCGTCTGGCGAGCCCTAGCTCCCAATCACCCGGAGCTCGCCGTCTCTATGGACAAATCTCCGTCCCACCAGAAGTGCACCAAGGTCAAGATGGAGCCCTACCTTGACACCTGCTACAGCCAGAGCAACGCGAGCGCGATGTGCGACATCCCGTTTCACGCGACGGCGAACACGTTGATCTATTGCCAGACCGGCCCGTACGCAGACCCGACGCCTAGCGTCGTTAGGAATAACGTGTGTGCAGTGGACACCAGGTACGGCGGTTACATGGACAAACAAAGGTACAGGGCTATAAGGAAGTGGAGGCAAGTCGAGAAAGGTAAAGATCCCTCGCCTTTCTGTGTTAAATCTTCGAATGGATATTATATGCGACATTATTTACTCGATTGTCCTCCTCCTGCCGGAGAACATGATCTCTTCTTGAAACATTTTTAGACAGATCGTCCAACAATATGGAAGACTATTTCATATTGAAACTCTTGTCCTTTAATATCCTGGCACAAAACCTGTTGGAAGATCACTCGTATCTGTACATGGATCACAACAAGAAAGCACTGAATTGGAAAACACGAAAGCCCCTTGTAATACAAGAGATATTCGAGGCGGAGGCAAATGTACATACTTATTCTTCGGCATTTAACGATGCTGTCAAACCTGCAGCGGGGGAGACGAGAGAATACCGCGCGCTATTATACTGTGTCGAATATTCCAGGTGATATGCCTTCAGGAAATGCAGGAGGAACACCTGCTAGAGTTTGTGGCTCCGTTCAAGCAGCACGGATACGAGTATCTGTACAAAAAGAGAACCAACGACAAGAGGGACGGCCTGCTGCTGTTGTATCGCTCCAGCGAATTTGTCTTGCTGGATTACGCCAAGGTGGAGCTGTATCAGCCCGGCGTCGAGCTTCTGAATCGAGACAACGTCGGAATAATCGCCAAACTGGCTCTTCGAGATAATCCGGAGACGCAGGTCGTGGTCGCCACAACTCACCTGTTATATAATCCGAGGCGCAACGACGTGCGATTGGCGCAGATACAGCTCTTGTTGGCGGAGATCGAGCGGATCGCGTTCCTCGAAAATACGATGTGAGGGCACGCTTCAGTTAAATCATTGCCCGCTTGCGTTCGGCAAATATTAAATATTTTGTGATACCTCGCAGGGCGGGCCCGAAGTACTTACCGATTGTACTGGCGGGCGACTTCAACTTGGAGCCGTTCACCGGCGTTTACAAGTTCCTAACGGAGGGCTCGTTCGAGTATTACGGCAAGGGACGGAGCTTGGAGCCGTCTCAATATCGTTCCCTGTCCAAATCTTTGATACCACCGCGATTATGCGTCACCGACAACTGTCAGCACTTTAACGTCCTGACTCAAAGACTGCGAAAGGAAGGCACCGGTAAAGTCATGGTACGTTCTTGAATGTACAACGAACTGCGCACGTCAACTGATTTCTTTCGTCGACTTCATATCTATTTTAATGTAACGCGACGAGTGCTCGTTCTCGGAATCTCTCGGTTCTGCGTAGATTTTGAAAACAATTTAAATTCTAAAGTGCTGCTTTGTCCCCTCGATCTTGACTTCTTTTCCTAATAGCGTGCTTTGACAATTGTTTCACTAACCATTCGATTCTGATCAGCTGGAGAACAGCGAGTCGCTTCAGAAACAGGACAAGAATGTGCCAACGCCATGCAATAAAAGTGTGCTGCAACAGAGTGCCAGCAGTGACGCCGGCCACGCGCAAGTCATCGAGATCGTGCAGGGCCATTCCGCGAGATTCTCGTCCGGCACCCTGACGCACCCCTTTAACATGCGCAGCGTTTACTCGCACGTAGGCGCTCACGGCGAGAAAGAGGCGTCGACGCATCAGGACGAGTGGATCACCGTGGATTATATATTCTACAGCAACATCCAACCATTCGAGAAGTACACTCTACCTACAGTGAGCCAATGCGCCGCGTTACCCAGAATACCAAATTTCACAGTAGGTAGCGATCACTTGTGCCTGGGCGCCACCTTTCAGTTACCGAAAAAGAAATCTCTACTTTAAAATTAGATAGAATAGCCTTTCATGTAAATCATTTTCTTGTCATATTGAAATTAAATATTTAACAGGGAGAGAGAGAGATATATATATGTACATTAATAATATTTTATTAATATTAATAAAATTAATATTTTATTAATATTAATAATAATTTATGTCATTTATTTATGTTGGTGAGACCAAAAGATACCACCTGCAATTCTTGCAATTTTTTAAGACAAGCACAAAATCGCAAGGTGCATTTTGACTTGTGAAAATTGCAAGTTTGCTACAATATATATCTCTTGAGTAACATCCGGAAAGTAACGGAGAAACATGATTTTCTTTTTAGTTTTGTCTAATTTTTTTTTGTCAACGATAAGTAATGAACAGTCACCTTAAATTTTGTTTTCGGTAACGAATAAGGGATAGGGGATGTTCATCAAGGACTGCTTAAAAGATTTTTGAGAAAACGTCAAGATATTGGTTTTTTTTGTGTGTGCTGAAAATGTAGACTAAAAAATTTTTGTTTGTGTTTCGCCAGTTTTGATGTAAACAACCCTGTATGTCACATATGTATAGGACTGTGATGTAGCAACTATCGTATAATTATTGACGCATAAAAAGATAGGTAAAGTAAACTACGATTTTACGAAGCTATATAGTAAACTGTACAAATTTTATATACAGTAATAAATAGAAAATATTCTCTGTAATAATCGAAGCGAGATCTCGATCTCGTTGGTCCGCCTGTTGGTCTTTCATGAAATTCTGACTGGGTTTATCTGTACGGCGCCTTTGTACACCAGCACGCGGGTCTTGCCAACGAGATTGCTCTCGCGGACGGAATAGTTTGCCTAGCAGAAACTCGGCGAACTCCTTGAATCACACTTGCAGCTCGGCGTCGCCGCCGTTAGGAACAACCAGGAGTTCACACTTCAGCAGACTCGCCCGGCCTCTTGCACAACATTTCAAGTATCCGTGGTCCGTCGTATACAACTCGCTAATGTTTCGAATCTTCATGTTTAGGGATGCCGACAACAAACACGTTGCCTATCCAAAAGCGTTATCAATCCCATCGGTCCGCCTATTGTTCCTTCACGAAATTCTGACTGGATGTATCTGTACGGCGCCTTTGTACAGACTCGGCCCTTCGTACGCCAGCACGCAGGTGTTGCCAACGAGATTGCTCTCCTCGCGGACGGAACAGTTTGCCTGGCAGAACTCGGCGAACTCCTTGAATCTCACTTGCAGCTCGGCGTCACCGCCGTTGGGACCAACCAGGAATTCGCACTTGAGCCGGCTCGCCCGTCCTCTTATGCAACATTCCAAGTACCGGTGGTCCGTCGTGAACAAATCGCTGATATCTTGAATCTTGATGTTTAAAGCACGCCTCAGGATACCGGTGACGAACACGTCGTCTATCCAAAAGTACTCGCGGGAAGACTCGGCGTGATCGATTAATCGACTCGCCACCCGCGGACGCGTGATGTACAGCCAGCCGGAGACGAAGTCGGGATAAACGCTACCCGCGTATTCCGCCTCGCTCACGTACCACTTGCTGGCTGGCTCTCGAATGGGGACCATGTTCGTCAGGAGGCAACCAGTCAGGGAGTTCTCCTCCATCTTACCCGAGCGCAGCCCCTCCAGTATGCCGTATACGTTGACGACGATATCGTCGTCCATCTTCACGATGTATCTAACGTCCCTGCAAGTGTCCACCGCCCAGCGGAGGCCCATGAGGTGCTTGCGAGTCAAGTTTCTGTAAGTGTCCGCAAAGTCACCCTGAAGTATGTCGTTGTACCGTCGCGACTCGTCCAGCAGCGCGTTCTGCGCCACGCGCGTCTTCCTCTCGGCGTCGCCACTTAGCTTGCCGAGCAAGAATACTCTTCTGATCCCCAGAGCTCGCAACTCCTCGTCCGCGTAGGCTCGCCGTAGGGCGCTTCTCGCCGTGGGCTCACCCGCGTAAGACGTGACGAGCCAGATCAGGAAAGTAGCGTTGCACGGTGGCTCGATTACGATTCTGCAGGCACCCGACGACCCGCCGGATGACAACCCGCGTACCGTTTCAAGCTGTATTAAGTTTACCTTCGGAGCCCGTGGCCGCAAGCCTCTTTCCACGAATGCGACGAACAACAGAACGCATCCCGTGCAAGCGAGCAGCAGGAAAAATCTGTACTTCGAAAGCATGTCTGCTTTGTATTCACAGCTGCAATTTGACTGACAATATCAAGGGTAGGACGACAGTCATTCTCTCAATCGCAGCATCCTCAGATCGGTCTCGTCCAATCTTTCAAATTATTTGCTCTTGAAGACGCAGTGGCAGCGAACAGTCCGTTCTTTATTGCCGTCTCCACGGAGAAAATGCGAGTTAATATAATTAATGAATCGACTGGATTACAGTGATACGTGATCAACATACCGAAATTAAAGTGATTTCTTGTTGCTTCAAGTGCGGAGGGTATCTTCTCTCTCGACCTCCACTTCCACTATTTTCTCTTTTTGCGGACCGTTTTGGCTTTCGTTATTGCATAAAACAGAAGGTCTTTTAATTCTGGTTCTAAATAAAAAATTTTCTTATACTTTTGAGTTAAATAATTCATCATGTAGATATATTGTTGTTTTTTCGCAACTGAATCTTAGGTTAAAAGACTAGAGGCACATAAAAGAGTTCATTTAGTGTCCATCTACAATAGAGATTTAAACCCTAAGCTTTAAGAAATTAACTAATCACATAGCGTTTTCGACTGACTGGAACTGACGTGGGATTCAACGCTCCCGAAGCGATCAAACCTGAAGATACTAGGAACATATGTTCGACCGAAAATGTGTTATGAATCTGGGTTAGGTCTTAGTTACGATATTCTTTTTAGTTTTACGATAAAATCGAAATATTTATTCGTAAACTTACGCGTTATTGTCGTCAAAGAATGCTTTGTTCTACAATAAACACGCGCATACGACCTGATTGTAACCTTACGAAGCTTCTTGGCACTGATGGATCAATTCGCAACGGTATGGGTCGAACGTGGGTTGCATTCACTGATGCCAGCCAGGCGACGCACGCACTTGCACCCCTCCTGCTTGTGTGCGTGCTTTGAACCATATATTGCACAGAAAACTGCATAGCTGCATATGCATAGCACAAGACCGTCTGGACCAATAAGCATGTTATGTAAATCAATATGGCGACTCAATGCTCGATGTTCATTGGTTTCAACTGTTTTCATGCTATGCACATGCAGCTATGCAATTTTGTGTGCGAAGTAGTCCGATACGGGCTTGAGAAAGTGAAAAAAAATGGCTAAAAATACACCATACAGCGAACAGTA